AAAAAATAAAGTGAAATCAACAAAGATGGAAAAAAATCTCCCGCTGAATGCAAAGATACATGAATGAACCCAACCATACATTCTTGTTAACACAACACAGAAGTGGGGACAGGGGAAGTAGTGGACTACAAAGTTACCGGTACTTTGTTACACACTCAGCAAGGAACAAAAAAAGAACTGCCAGCAAATCTTGAACTCTTTCTGGTAGGTTTGTTTTTCAAAGTGCTATGGGCACAGCAATTCTGAAAGTATTTTATGTGAACTATAGGAGTGAACGATAAAGTAAATGTACTGCTGGGAAGCAGGGAGATGCAAATATGGAGTGGGGGATGATGAGGAAGAATTCTGTGGAATCGGGTTAGAATTGGGAGTATTAATATGAACTCATGATTTCTTAGCAAAGAGTGCTATTCAACAGAACTTTCTGTGATGGTAGAAATATTCTGTATCTGTGCTGTACAATACGGTAGCCACTGAGTATGAAATATGAAGTAGTCTGCTGAGTATGAAATGTGGCTAGTACAACAGAAGAACTGAATTTTACATTTTTTTTAATTTTAAATTTGAACTGCCACACGTAGTTAGTGGTCTATGATATTAGACAACTCAAATCTAAAGGCAATGACACCATAAAAATACTTAGCACCCAGATTTTGGCTTCTAAATCCTATTGACCACTAAAAGGAACCAGGGTCCCCTGGAGAAATGGTTGATTCCATGGCTGGCACAGATTGGTTACAAGAGGAGAAGGATGTTTGCCAGAAAGTAAGAAGTGCTTTAAGAAAAAAAAGGCGGCACATAACAAGGATACAGGAACCAGCTGAAAGTGCTCTTATTCACCAAATTAGGGACAGCTATAAAATAGCAATCCATGAGTCCATATGGGTCATGGATAGAGGAAAAGAGAGCTGTTCCTTAGCAGATCACACCTGAATACCAGCATCGTAGAAAAAAATTACTTATTGACATTTCCAGGAGAGGAATCCCGACACCCACGCCTCCATACCTTACTTAATCCACTCTCTTTCTCAGAGACACAGTATCTTTCAATTTCTAAATAAAACATTCATATTCTTAACACTTTTCTTAAGAAACAAACAAAAAAATACTTCTCTGAGTCACCATATCAACAAGAAAGTTAATGAAGAGTTCAAATGACCCAGGCTATACAGGGTTGGAATAAGAGTCCAGAAATTCTCAATTTCTAAGTTCTGGAGAAATCACTAAGGACACCTCTCTTCTTTGTCCTCCTCCCTAAGTCAGAGGAAATTTAGTCGTTGTCTGTAGCTTCCTACTCTGGCTCAGAGACACTCAATCTCTCCTCCTCTCTATTGGAAAGTATCTCAATATGATGATTATAATGAAATGCAGCCAAGGCTTGCATCTTTGAAACTCTCTTACTAGCTGTCAAAACTGTTTTTCAGCAACACTCCATGCCCAGAATTATTGTGATTTCTTCAGTGATAAAATAAACAAAACACATTTTCACTACACAACATGAACATGTACTAAGAAGATAAAAGGCAAAAAATCATTTTGTAATTTCCTTAAAGAGAAATATACTAGACCATTCTTTTCCAAAGAAACATCAATTTGTAATTTATTATTAAAAAAAATTCTTAGACATATCAAATAAAAAGGAGGGAACACCCTATAGCTCAAAGAGGAAACATACCCTCAAATCCAACAATACTAAGTACCCTACAACATGAAGAAGAGAGGCAGCATTTTTCCAATTTGCCTATAAAATCCGTAATTCTGCTCTTAGAAGATACAAATAGAAACACTGTTACTGTTATTGAAACAAATAATTATCAAAGGAGAACAGTGACAGCAGAATGAACAGACCACAAGCTGATCATCTAGAGGTCCAGGCTGTGTGGCCTGGGGGTTGGTGGGGGTGCTGCTCTTTCTGTTTGCCTAAAACTCTGTGTGATGACATCAATTGTGAGATGCACATGAAATCTATCAATTCTATTTCTATTATTTACACTTCAAATTATTTATAGTCCTCTGTAATTCAAGGTCGTATTTGCAATGACCCAAGGAGTTACAAAATCACTTTCTGGTTTGTTTGGGGTTTTTTTTTTAAGAATTTATTTATTTATTTGACAGAGAGAGAGCACAAGCAGGGGGAGCGGCAGGCAGAGAAAGAGGGAGAAGCCGACTCCCTGCTGAGTAGAGAGCCTGACGTCTGGCTCGATCCCAGGACCCTGGGATCATAACCTGAGCCGAAGGCAGATGTTTAACCAACTGAGCCACCTAGGCGCCCCTCATTTTTTGTTTTAACACTGAAATAATAATATTAATGATGACTGAGTGCTTACCATCTAGATGCCAGGCACTGCACTAGGCATTTACAATCATCCTATGAGGAAATAGCTATGATTACTTCCACTGAAAAATAAAGAAGCTGAAATTTGAGCCCAGACTTTCTGAATGAAATTCACACACACTCAGGCATTAAATTCACCATAATAGTATTTTTATTCTTTATCATTGTTATCAATATCAGATTCAGGGACTTAGCAATAATGAAATAGCTACTATCATCAATTGAGTGTCATACTGCACCAAACTCCCTGCATATGCTGATTCTTGTGCTCATGACAGGCCTCACATGAGCTATTATCATTGGCATTTTACAAAGAAGGATATTGGGCCCAGGTACATTAAATGACTGGTCAAGTAAGTGGCAGAATTGCGATTTAAACCAAGGCATGTCTGCTCGCAAAATATACTGTTTCAGGGCTACCTCCCCTTTCCTTCCTCCAAAAAAAAAAAAAAAAAAAAAGACCAAATGTCTCCTATGTGGGTTTCAGGAAAGAGGATGGCAGCAGAGGAGAAGAAGAAATTCCTAGTAATAAGAGAATGAACAAACAGTTGAGCGCCCATAATCTAAATGACGAGCCTCTCCCTATTTGGAAGGGCTCATTGTTTTGCGGTGCCTTGTTGCTGGATTCCTGATTGTAGCAAATTCCAGGGCTCCAGACTGCAGGCTCAGCCTCTGACTAACACTACAGTGATTTATTTGAGGATAAATACCTCTGTCAGTGTGTCTTATGACTGCACACAACAGTCCAAGCGGGCTGGAATGCGCGGAATGCTCAGGACTGCGGGCGCTGAGACAGCACAGCGCTGCAGGCGTTACCAGAGGCCTCTCGCCGCTCAAGGTCTCCGCCAACGAGAAAACAGCAACTCTGAGCAGTCACGTTCCTGCCAGAATCAGCAGCATCCTCAGAAATCACAACTGGGGAAGCCAAGCACTGTGAATAATTACAAAACATCAATTCATGCCTGGGGAGGCGGAAAAGAGAGTAGGCTCTTGTAACCTGGATCTACAAAGCTCCACCTCCTAATCATCAGGCTACCTCACTGCCCCCGACAAGCTCCCCGACCCTGACAGTACCGACTGGCTGCACGGGTGCCAGAGCGGACCCTCCGGGCCGCTGACTGGCTGTCTCCAAGCGCCGAGAACACGGGAAAAGGCATTCCACTCCCTTTGCGGGGCATGCGCGTTCAGAAGAGAGTGCAAAGGGGAAGCCGGAACAAGGCGCACAGAAGCAAGCTACTTTCCCAATGTAAACGTGGGAACGCTGTACGGATTCAGAAAACTTTCGTGTCAACCCCTTTGTTTCACAAATAAGGAAACTGAGGCCCAGAGAGTGGGAGAAACTCATGTCATGATTGTAGAGAATGCTGGTGGCAGATGGAGGACCTGCCCCAAGCCTGGTTCTCAACAGCTACAAGAGGCTCACATACCAGAAGCGATGAGCAGCACCTTATCATAAACACAAAAAGCCATCTTTCCCACTTTAGGAAGGTCTCAAGTTTATACCATGAATATACAAGGTGAGAATTAATTCAATCGTTTCCCCTCCGCCCCCTTTCTGCAGTTTTTCTTTCCACAATCAATTGTGGCCTGGAAGCGGATGATCCTCCTTGGAGTCAACAGTAGCTGAATGCTACATCCCAATGCCTATATCATTCACCTCACTGCAGCACGTAGACATTTTATTATCTCACATCACCACAAGAAGAAGAAGGGTGAGTACAGTACCACAGATATTCTGAGAGAAAACCACACTCACATAACTATTATGACAGTGTTGTAATTGTTCTATTTTATTAGTTATTGCTGTTAATCTCTTACCATGCCTAATTTATAAATTAAACTTTCTCATAAGTATCCATGTTTAGGAAAACACACAGCATATATGGGGTTTGGTACTATCTGTGCATCAGGCATCTACTGGGAGTCTTGGAACATACACCCCTCAGATAAGGGGGAGGAGAGGGACTACTGCACTTTTTTTTTTAAAGATTTTATTTCTTTATTTTGAGAGAGAGTGAGAGAGAGCAAGCATGAGAGGGGGGCAGAGGCAGAGGGAAAGGGAGAAGCAGGCTCCCTGCTTTGCAGGGAGCCTGATGCGGGACTCGATCCCAGGACCCTGGGATCGTGACCTGAGCAGAAGGCAGACACTTAACCAACTGAACCACCCAGGCGCCCCGCTACTGTACTTCTTAATATGTACAACTCTAGACTCCTAAGCAAAACATTTTACATATGTCTGTTCAGGTGTTAACCTTTCCTTCCATTTCCTGGCCCATAAGACAGTCACCAAAGACTGATTCTCCTAACAACGATCAGTGATACAGGCAAGAAAAGGCAGTCTTCAGACAACCACCCCCCAGAAGCTGGAAGAGAAAGCTAACATCCGTGGGGAACACACACACACACACACACACACACACACACACACACACACACACACACACACACACACACACACACACACACACACTCATACAAACAAGTTGGAAGGAAAGAAGAGGTCATCTCTCAAGTTATCAAAAACGGTTAATGCCCCGCCTGGCAGGAGAGCCCTGTTCATCCTTTCACTTCATTGCTGGCACAAATTGCAGAAGAACATGGCCCCTGCACGGAGCACATGGAAGCCAACACCAGAATGCCCTCACTTCAGAAAGAGGAAACTCACAGATGGGGGCTGAAGATGCGACTCATCTTAGAAGCATGGTCATTTTCACAGTCCAGGTCATCGTCCCCTTGCTCCACGCTGAACTTCCTCTTGCTGGGACTGATGGGCGGGGGGCCTGTGCGGTGACTGCTGAGGGCAGACGCCACAGGGAGGGTCTGCATCCTGGGTTCTCCTCTGAGAGCAGCTTCACCTACGCAGAGAGAGATGATGTCGTCACCAAGGAGGCGAAACTCCCCCACCTCAGTGCCCCGCTTCCCCGCCCATCCCTTGCAAAACTACTCCCAGTGGAAAGTTTTGGCAACAGGATGGGCTGCCTGCCCTTCTCAGAACATGGCCTGAGCGTGAGGTGAGCTGCCAAGCACAAGACATTTTACACAAACGTGGGTTTCTACACAATAACTCACTCCCCTCCCCCAGCTTTATTGAGATGTAACTGACACAGGGCACTCTGCAAAGTGAAGGTGCAGAAGGGACTGATTTGATACACTTATATATTGCTAACACCTCCATCACAACACATAATTCCCATGTCTTCAATAACTCTTTAGGGTAGAGTAGTTTAAAATCAAAAGTTGCAATAAAGTAACAGAGGGGTAAAAGTACTGACCACAAACCATCTCAAAAGTTAATTTAAAACAATAAAGGGCTTTTGATGGGTGGGTATTCGACTCTACCTATAAGAGAATGACCTAACACAGGCTTCATTAGAACATGACTAGAAACTCACTTTTCTTGCCTGTTACATTTTTATTACAATTTTGGTATGTTATTTTTTCTTAAAGAATGAGGAAAATTTATGGGTTAATAATTCACATATTTGCCCAAAATGTTAAAAGAAATGAAAACACATTGTTTAATGAAAAATAAACATTTCATTCTTACAGCACACTAAAAATGGCACATTAAATATTTTTTACTATTATTAGCACAAAGTTTCTGCATATAATTTGTCATGAGCTTGATACACAGGTGCAGTTCTCAAACACTTTCAAAGTTAAACACTCAAATTAGAATCCGCATTATGATCTGATTCAACATCTTGGAGTTTTTCATTCCTGTAATTAAAAAGACTTTGTACTAGGTGATAACTTTGTGTTTCATTATTAATTAAGCATAACCCTTTATTATAATAAAAGTTTTACACCTTCTAAAATTTATAAACAAGAGTAATATATATTTTAAGAGAAAATTTCTAGTTATCTAAGTCATATGGGAGGGTTACCTAAATTTTTCACAAATAATAACCCTTTTGTCATGCTATTATTCATTCACACTGGCCTCTAAGGCATGGTCAATTTTGTTTCCACTTGGTCACAATTTGAGAGAAATATTAGGATAAAGTCAATTTCATCTGTGACCCTGTGGTACCTTAGAAAGGAAATCTTTGTTTGCCACCACTAATTTTCATATCATCACAGATGTGTGGACAGTTTTAACAGCCGTTTGCTTCATACACATATGACAAATACGATTTTGTTAGGGAAAGGAGTGAGGGCAAAGCCTCCTGAATGTTTACCAGGAAAAATAAAACTTTTGCCAATTTAGTCATCAAGATATAAACTAGCAAATATACACTGACCCCCTAATACACCTCCCAGGCAGGATTTCTTTTAGAGATTTTGGCCCCAAAGCAAACTGAAACTTTCCATTTTAAATGAGATACCTAAAAACAGGCCATATTGCTGGCCTGCCACACTCAGACATTCAGTAGGACTTTGGTTGTCCTCTACTTCCTATTTATGAACTTTTGGTTTAAAAAAGCAAGCAAACAGTGGTGCCTGGGTGGCACCATCAGTTAAGTGTTCGACTCTTGATCTGGGCTCAAGTCATGATCTCAGGGTCATGGGATCAAGCCCCATGTCGGGCTCCACGCTCAACGCCAAGTCTGCTTAAGACTCTCTTTCCCTCTGCCCATTCCTCCTCAAATAAATAAATCAATCTTTTTTTTTTAAGCAAATAAAAAGCCATGCTAATATTTGTATTGTGATAAATCAGAAAATATTCTTTCCAAATATGCTCTCCTCTCTTATACCCTCCACCTCCACAGAAAGGGGAGAGGGCATTTCGAATGTAAAATGTCAGTAGCCCGGCTAACTTTTGGAGGAACCCTGATGATACCCCCAGGAACTCGGCAATTGCAAATCAAGCCTCATCAACACGGCACAGAGCCACCATGCCCTCTGACCTGTGTTTCTCCACATCCTTGGCAGGTTCAGCGGAGATGAGGAGTACTTGGGCTCTGTCTGGACCCCTGGGCTTTGGGAACCATTTTATCAAATGCCAGATGTGTAGCAACAGCAGTTGCCATGGAAACCTGCCACCACAGCAACAAATTCAAATCACTCCAAAAAAAGAAGAACCACCCATTACAACACTAGCATACACTGCTAAGCGAAAAGCAAAACTCTTGGAGTTAGAACAACATTCCCACTGCAGTCCCCAATTTCCATCTTAATATAAGCTCGTTTGTGCTTGTCTGCAGTTTAAGTTCATCAAATGGAGCACTGCTTATCTTTAAGACCAAATCGCTGGTGTCTGACATAGAAAGAAGAAAGTGCACAGGAATCTTTGGAAACACTGGGATTTCTAACCTGATAGGTAAAAGACCCACAGAGGAAGCACAGGTGGTTCTTCTTCCCTAGAGGCTGTGACAAAACTGTACCAAATCCCCTAGAGCATGTTGTTAGTGCTGGAAGGGGTCCTGTACACCTGGATTCCCTCACTGGACAGAGAAAACTGTGCCCCCAGACATGGAGGGCCCTGCTCAGGTTCACACAGTTAGTGGGTTTACTGTAAGCAAGAACCCATGCCCTCTGCCTATCAGAGTGACATCCCCTTGTAAACACTGTGCAAGGCCCACACATGGCTCGGAGCAAAGGAACTAGGGGTAGAAGGGAAGAAATTCACAGTTACAAGTTTAGAAACTGGTCTTTTCACAGTTATGTACCCTCATTCATTTCAGGGCCTCCACTCAAGGACCCTCATGCAACACCTTGTATTATAAAGTGTGATTTGCTTTTATTATGGTCTAAGTGGCAAAGGAAGGTTAAAGTTATTTTAGAAAAATTGAAGAGAACACATAGACTGGGAATCAAGACACTAGCAGGACATTGTCACTGCATTTAGGGCCAGCTGAATACTGGCACACACTTCCCCTCTCTGGCCTGCCTACAATAAGGGGCTGGACTAACCAACACCTAACACTTCCTTCAGCCCTCAGGGTTAGTAACCCAACGCTGTGATCTACAACCCTGTACTCAATCAAGTACCAACCAGCCAACATTTACTAAGCAATTATTACTCGTGTAACACTGAATGAAGGTAGCAAAATGCAAAGGTGTCATATAATCAAAAAACCAGAAAGTGAACCCATGGTCACATAAACTTGGAAACCATGAGATTAAACAATTTCCACAGGAGTTTCTTCGTTACAGGCCTTCTTGTCCTCTAAAAAGCACTTGTCCATTTCCAAGCCAGAAACTTGGCAGTGCTGCTTTTAGTCACCCCATCATCCTACAGATCTCTGTAAACTCCATCTTCCACAGCAGCATTCTGGCCATGTCAACCCACCAGGACCCCAAACAGTCAAGGGCTTGTCCGTCACTGATGAAATAACCTCCAGGCTGCTTCTGCATTCATACCCAACAAGTGGTCCCACGGCCTTCCCAGACTTTGCTTCTAGTATCCCCCTCTGTAAGCTCTCAGAGTGTCAGCCCTAGAAGTTAAACCAGACTGGACATCACTGCACAGAGATCTCACCGTCTAACCCCGAGGCCTTTACTCAGTTTCTTCCTCCGATCTTTTATACTTAAATCCTATGCATCCAGCAAAGGTCACTTAAAATGCCTCCTCCTTCATGTTGCCTTCCTTGACTCCTCAATCTAAAAGTCATCACTTCTTCTGAATACCCACAGAAATTTATCCCTACGATACCTCCCTTCCTACTTGGTTTTGCGCTCCCTGAAGCAGTGGACATTTAATTCATTTTATATACTCGAGAATGCAAAGCACAATATCTTCCACACAGGAGATGGATGGTAAACACTGCTTGAATGACTCCATGAGGCAGGGCAATGGGGCGCCCAGATTAGAGAGCTAGAGGATATGTTAAAGATCAAAGATGCCATAAAGTAAGGAATCTCAAAAGATCTATTTAAGAATATATAAATAACTCTCAAAACTCAACAATAAAAAGAACTTGATTTAAAAAAGGGAAAAGAGGGCGCCTGGGTGGCTCAGTTGGTTAAGCGTCTGCCTTTGGCTCAGGTCATGATCCCAGGGTCCTGGGATCGAGTCCCGCATCGGGCTCCCTGCTAGGCGGGGAGTCTGTTTCTCCCTCTGCCTCTGCCTCTCTCTCTGACTCTCATGAATAAATAAATAAAACATTTAAAAAAATTAAAAAAATAAAAATAGGAAAAGAGATAGGCAAATAGCCAATAAGCACATAGAAAGATGTCTGACATCATTAGCGATCAGGAAAACATAAATCAAAACCACAATGAGATACCACTTTATACACACTAGTGGGGCTATAATCAAAAGACAGAAAGTGACAAGTGTTGACAAGGATGTGGGGAATTCGGAACCCTTGTGCATTGCTGGTGTAAATGCAAAATGGTGCAGTTGCCATGGAAAACAACTCTGGGCAGTTCCTCCAATGGTTAAACATAGAGTTACCACATAAGCCAGCAATTCCACGCTGAGGCATATAACCAAGAGAAATTAAAACACATATTCACATAAAAGCTTATATGAATGTTCATAGCAGCATTATTCATAATAGCCAAAAACCCAAATGCCCAGCAACTGATGAATGGATACAGAAGACATGCAATCTATCCATATGATGGAACATTATTCAGCCATAAAAAGCAAGGAAGTATTGATTCATGGATGAACCTAGAGAACAGTATGTGAAGTGAAGGAAGCCAGACACAAAGGGCCACATACTGTCTGATTCCACTGACCTGAAATGTCCAGAATAGGCAAATGTGAAGAGACAAAAAGCAGATTAGTGATTGCTGCTGAGGGGTGGGAGGAGGAGCAATGGGAAGTGACTGCCAGTGAATGCAGGGTTTCTTTCAAAGGTGATGAAAATGTCCTACCATGGATCGTGGTAAAGGCTGCCCAACTCTGTGAATATACTAAAAACCACTGGATTGTATACGTTACATGGGTGAATTACATTCG